TCGGGGCAATTGCGTCCCTGGCAGGCCGGGTAGATCAGACGCAGTCGGAGCGAGCTGTCTCCACTGTGTCCCCTCGGTGGGCAAGCAGGAAGAGACACGAAAGCATGTTTGCATTCAAACACGTCTCTTCCCGGGAACCCCCGTTCCCAGTCACGGCTCTCCCACTATTTTGGGGGGTGGCCGAGGCTCAGGCTAATTGCACCGGTCCTTCTCTGGATCCGCGGGCACTGAATGCCAACGGGGTGCTGGCAGCCAAGTCTCTGATCTCGGGGCAGGGCTTTCAGGGCAGGGCACGCGTTGACCCCCACTTTCAGCCAGCGGTAACGATACAACGGTAACGAATTTATTCTTGTGTCCGGTCCCCGCTGTGGGTTTTGACTCCTTTCTTACCGGCCCACGGGCGTCCCCAGAGGGAACCGACCCTGTCATGAGACGCACAGTCGAACACGCTCCCTCTCACATATTTTAAGTTAGAGGAGATGCAGTTCACTCGCGTTGGATACAGCCGGTACTCCGGGCGTTCCCTCAGAGTCTTCCATCTATATGACTCGGTGAGCCACGCTTTTGGGGTGAGGCGGAGTATCATCGATCCCAGTGATACGATGTATATACCCCCACCCTTGATCCTAAAGCGACCACCTAAGGTTGCTTCAACGCTTGTGGGATCACGGGCGTCGGGATCCAAAGCAACCCCGTCGGCACATCTCTCCCCTGTCCGTCTGAGTGCGGAGTGGGGCGCAGAGCACGCAAACGGTGTTGATGGGCAGCGTTGGTCAGCCGCGGAGGATGTAATGCTTAAGGCCCCCGGGTGGGGATAACGTTAGGCAACATTTCCCACTGGACCAAACGCTACCCGGTCGGTGTATTTCGGGATCAGACCCCATAGCGTGGGATGAGACCAAAACACCCCCAACTGGATTCCAAGGCTCCTTCCCCAGACCCCGGTACCATGAATTTGGCAAACCGGGCAAAAGGGGATAGCCGCGTTCCATGGGTGTCTTTGCCAATTGAGGATGACCCATCTAGCCCTGAGGGCAGAGTTGCTCGAGCGCATTATTATGCGTGCCCAGCACTCTGGTGACCATCTATGTGCGACACCCCCTAGTGTTGCCTGGCTCGCTTGGCCAGGGCCACTACTGTGCTATGAGACGCGGCCTTAGACGCATGTGTTTTCGCCGACAAGCTGAGCCGGGGTACGTCCCCACCTCAGTGACGCAGACTGGATACCCTCCACCCTCTTTGTTCAGGGAATGGTGGGTACAGTCTCGGAGCTTTGGAGTGCAATGAATCAGAGGGTTCAGATTGAATCCGCTAGCCAGTTGGTCCTGCCATGGGCAAGCGGAGGGCACCCCAAGCACAGAAAACACAACGCCCTAGGGCGTTGCCCGCTAGTCAGAGTCAGCCAGGAGGCAAGCGCTTATACCCTTCCTTGGGAGGGAAGGGTAGTGGCGTGCCCCCAGGGAGGTAAGAGCCAGGTGGTGGCTCCTCACCCTCTCTGGGCGGATGTCTACCCGGCAGCAGGGGAAGCATGTTTGACGCTCACCTCTGCAACCGGGGGAGACAGGCACGTGTTCGGTGAGTGGCCAGGTCACAACTTAGTGACTACTTCAGCCTTGGGGAACTCGCCTCATGGGGGGAAGGGAGCACCCTCCCCCTTGCAACTGCCGAACACATGGCCACACATCCCTGTCGTACACAGATTGCGCCGGTGTAGTCCGGTTTGGAGACGGCGGGTGAACGACCCCTGGACCTTCCCAGGTGGTGACATCCATTTACGGCATACCGCTGAAATCTCCACTTCCCCCCGTCAGTGTCTCCCCTGTTGGGCACTGCCAGGGGACTCCCGCAAGGCGGAAGCAATCAGACAGGAAGTAGCAGTTTGCTGGGGAAAGACGCCATACACAGGGTACATCAGCCGGAACTAAGTCCAGGCTTCTACCCAAATGTGTTCGTAGTACCAAATCTACAAGTGGCAGGCGTCCAGTTTTGGACCTAGACAGACTGAATCAGTACGTGCCCCTCGATCGGTTCCACATGGAGACACCATTCAGGGTTCTTCTCTCCATCCACCGTTTTGACTGGCTAGCCCCGCTAGATTTAAGCGGGGCCTACCTGCACGTACCGATGCACCTAGCGAGTTGCCATCTCCTTCGAATCGCCCAGCTGGGCCAAGTATTCGAACTTCGGTGCCCCCCCCCCCTCCGTTCGGGTTAGGCACAGCGCCCTACGTGTTCACCAGAGGGATGAAACAGGTAGTACTGCTGCTTCACCAGATGTCGGTACACCTCAATCCGTACCCAGACTACTGGTTACCAACAACCCGGGCAAGGGGTAATAGCCAAACGCATCAGGCTAACACAGGATTTACTTCACCAGCTGGGCTCGTTAGTAAATCGACAAGTCCCACCGCGCAGTTGGTGTCCCTGGGCATGGAGTTTTGACACAGAGGTAAGCTTGGCTTAGCTATTTCAAGCATATTGCTTAGCGCTAAGCAGCCTAGCCGAATGCCTAGTCAGCGTTCCCTCGGTGTCCCTCCGTGAACTAATGCGGATCATCGGAATGATGACCTCGGTTCGAAGGGTCGTTCCCCAGGCCGCACTACGCAGCCGCCCGTATAACACTTGTTATATCGCCGAGCTCTTCTATGGGAACTAGATAGGCGGGTTTCGATCTCGGACCAAGTGAAGGAAGCCCTGCCCTGGTGGTCGTCACTGACCAACCTCGGGCAGAGGGGCCCCCTTGGACCCGCTCGCGCAGCATGACTCTGGTAACAAATGCCCCCCCCAGGGTTGGGG